TTGCACGCATGCATGCTTGGTGATTCTTAAATAATCTTGGCAGCTTTGTGTTTATTAAACAAAAGATAAAAGGTAAAATACTACTCTGGCCTATAGAAGGAAAAGTACTTACCAATGCTGGTATCTAGTGTCCCTGCAGCAACGTATTTGTTCACATGACTTCATTTGCCCTCAGTTATCTCTTTGTCACCTTGTAATATTTTGTCAAAATAAAATAAATTACATTTTCAGGATGATGCTTAAATTGATCAGCATGTAACTGCCTGGGTACAACATTTCAGGTGACGTTTACTGAATAGTTGGTTGTTTCTCTGTTACTTCAAATTCAAGCTTGCTATATGTAATTCAATTGCATTGCTTAAATCATAAACACATAATATTAACATTAAGGTCAAAAGGTTGCTATTTAGTGTTTACAATTTCTAGCGTTCTATAGCCCTACTCAGGCATCTTCAGCTGACAGCAGCCACCACAGCCATTTGTGCGGCTTTTGGTTTTTACACCCTGCTGCTAATTCATTTTTGATGTTTTGTAGTCATTTTTTTTCCAGTAGGGAGCTTTGCAGATCAAAAACTGGCATGACATTTTTCAGATAACACATTTTAATGACCTACTTGCAAATTCTCTCTCATTCCGAGTATTCTGACTGATACCGCCTTTGCTAAAATAATGTTCCTGAGATCAGTCTGTCCTGACTCTAAAACTTTTACATACTCCCTAATAATTAATAATGATGAATCAGAATGTCTCTGAGATGACCTTTTCTACTTTGTCCTGTAATTCTTTTCTTCATGAAAGCTGAACAGTTTTGCTAATGGATTATTTTAGCCGAGATGTATAATTGTCTTTATTTCTGTTGTAGTCAGCTCCGCCAATAAACTCTCCTTAATAAACAAGCTGAACGTTACCTGTTTTGAAACAGCTCTGGATGAACTAGATTCCTGTTCTTTGGCACAGACGTGATACGGCTTGGCTTATTTTGATAATTTGGCTGTGAGTTTTTGTGTAAGTACCTAAGTATTCTACAAGCAAATATTCTCGTAGCTCTACTGGGAGAACTGCAGACCTTACCTCCATTGTAGACGTCTGGAAACTGAGGCACAGACATGTTGTGCTTGGCCAGGGACCTAAAGCAAATAACATGGAAAGCCAGGATTAAACCTCCAGTTCCTGTGTCTTGGGCAAGTGTTCCAGGCTCTGAACCAGGCCCTTGTTCTTGAGGAAGAAGCACTAAATCTGTCATAGCTTTTTTTTAGATGAATTGGCCCAATGCTTTGTATGCTGAGATGTTGTTTAATATTCTTTCCACACCTCTGGGAGGACTTCTGCTTTTGTGTAAGGTGGTGATGTCTTTTGATACACTTTTAGAAGCTTTGACCTTTATTTTCTTTCTTTGAATCCTTACATCTTCTGCTCTCAATTTTAGTTCTAGGCTGAAAGGATTTGTGTCTAGTCAATATTCAGGGTTTTGTTTCTACTTCTTTCATGGCTTATTACAGCAGTAGCTATAAATATTTCATCTTTCTGACAGCAAGGCAGCCGACAGCGGTGACCTCAGCTCAGTTTTAGATTCAGCAGTGCTGCTAATGGTCTTGGTGCTGTTGTAAGGATCAAGGTGCTAAATAAATAGCTATAAAGGTGGTGAGAAAGCGAAGGCACATTCACCACTTGGCACTTCTTTGGCTCTCACCCTGTCTTCTCCCAAACCAATGCAAAGTTATCTGGGTAATGAAGCTAATTCTGCAAACCCATTTAATCACTGGTGTTTCTTAGAGAATGCTCTGAAACTCCTGTTAAAATATTTGCTTTAGGACATGTATTTAGACACCTTTACCTTAAGGAGCAAGTTCATGGCCCTGCTCGTAAGGGCAAATTCTAATGTGCAGGTAGCAGCGTCTTCCCTCTTCTCCCACAAAACTACCCTTACAGGTGCCTGTGGGATCCATACAGCGTCCGCTGGGGTTGTTGGTGTTCGTCCACGTGCCAGACATCCGTTCACTGCAGCCTGCTCCTGAAACCTGAGAAAAACAATCTGCTGTGGTCCTGCAGAAGTGGGAAAGAAAATTAAAAGGATAGGATGGTGCCTAAAGTGTTGGCATTGGCTTTTCAAGCAGGTGTGTTGGGCAGTTTTGTGGTTGGTTATAATGAAGGGTTATTTTTTTGTGTTTTCAAGTCCTAATTCCTTATGTAATGTAGACATTAATTTATGTAGACATTTTGAAATGCAGAGGGTAAACAATGGGTCAAATTTAAGTAAATATAAATTCAGAAAGACTTGGAATTGTAGAAAGCTTTTTATGTGTTAAATTGGTATATGGGAGGATTTCTTGGACTTTTCCTGGTGTCAGTTATTTTTTATTTCACTAATGCCGCGTTTAATGGTAAGCTGATCTTATAAAGTTGAAAATCCGTATTAGAATCATTTTCCGGCAATTTACAGAAATGGCAGTGAAGTGACTCAAGGTTCAGGTGGAAAAATTGTCGCTTCTTTTCCCCTTTTTAGGGTTTTGTTTTGCTGCTAGCTGGCCAGATCTACAAACACCGAGCTGTGTGTCGTTGTCCTGGAGCTCATTTGTGTCTGTAAGGGCTCTGAATACACCTCTCAAAACCTTCTGATGTGACTAAACCCACTGATTTGTATCAGCAGAGCCGCTGTTTGAACCCCAACATCTCCTGCACTTCAATTTGTACTACTGCTCACACAGAATCGTTGCCATTATAGGTGAAAAGGAACCCGTTAGATCATCCCGCCTTTAGCAACACTGGATTTTTCCTTCAGGAAGCGTCAGCCAGGAAAAATTTATGCTGCCGCGGCTCATTCTACATGTTCAAGGGATAAATGAAGGGCCTTATTGCCAGTCCAGCTGCCTGCATAAGTATTAAATGTGCTGCCCCTTGATGCACGTGCACGTATGCCTGTGTGCAGCCAGGCAATGCCCCGCTTGCCGTTGGCTCTGCAGGATGGTGGCTATTCTGCGAGCATAGGCGTGTGGATGTTGGAGGTCTGAAGCACCTCACAACCTTGGGGAGCTGTTGTCTGGTGCTGGATTTCAAAGGAAGCCGGAGGCCGGCCGGAACACGGATGGTATCTCTGAAGTGTCTCGACCAGATGGGCGGTGACCTGGTAGCACCGTGCTGTTAATTACAGCATCTGTTTCCTCTTGAAAGCCACCATGTTCTTCATTTGGAACTCCCCACAGGTCCAAGGAATTGGGTAGAAACTATTCAGAGTCGGTTTAACTGTATCCTTTGAGTAGCACTAAATTCTGAGTTGAGCTCATCAACGTTGTAGTTTGCTGTATGACAAGCTGCAAGACAGTGTGTCTTAACTGGTGGATTTCTTTATAGCATTCTGCACTAATGAAATCCTGCACAAACTCAGGTGTCTGCTAGGAGAAAATAGGCATCAATCAAACGTAACCATTGAGGACTTTTTCCCCCAAAATGTATGTTTAAGTTCATTTACACGCTGTAGTACATACCAAGTATCTATTTTGGGAGGAGAATCTTCAATGACTATTTAATGCGTTGTAGCTGTATGCTCTTATTAAATAGTGCTTTTTTAATGTTTCATATGTCCTTTTAAACGTTTCTTACATCTCTAGCAGCCTCATTTTTAGTGTGCCTTTCTACACTAAAGCTCAAAGACCAGCTCAGTTCATTAGCTGTGCTGCTATTATGTGCTCAGCATTAATGTTTTGAGCTTCTGGAATTAATGAAATACATATTACTGGCCTATGAAGCTGTTTGGAACTTTGCTGTTAGTGTGATTTGTATTTCAATAGGGGTGAAAATTAATCATTTTTGACTGCAGAACTATTGCTCAAATGTTCTGGTTTGAATTTTGTATAAATACTTATTTAAGCACATCTTTCCACCCCAAAAGGAGATGTTTAAGTTCATGATTATTTTTTTACCTCCTCGTACCTCTATTTTAAATATCTATTCTAAGGGGAAGATGTGCACAATATCTTCATTTTAGGTGAAAAAAGTAGAGCTATTAGCTGCTAGGCTGCAGTGAATCCAGAAAAACAGTGACTGTAATTGTGGTTCTGATTTTATTAGGCTGGTTTTGGTGCTAAGCTGTCTCTCTGAATATTAAGATGTTTTTGTGCTGAAATATCAGTATCAAGCTACTTTTACTGACTTTCTGCCCTACCCTTGCAGGCAGGAGGGAATGGAAATTGAACTACAAAAAATACCAATGCAGCACAGTTTGTATCCAAGATCAAAGCAGCCGATACTGGGAAGTGCAAGGCCCAGGGCTGCAGCCTGAATGCACAGCAGCCCTTTCTGCATTTGAGGGTGGGCAGATGGTGAGAAGTGTTTGAATTACTGTGGCATAAGGAATTGCTTCTTGCCAGGCAGCCTGCAGCGAGTGATTGCACCTTTGTCACTCATGAGCAGCTTGAGTGGTTTTATTTGACAGTTTCTGTCTTTTTTTTTTTTTTTTTTTTTAACCTTCCTGGTGACACAACTTTATGGTGGGACTGTGCAGTTAACCAAGTCACAAACAACCCAGGAAAAAAGACAGGCTTTGACCCTGTGGTTTGCAGTCAGTTTATGTGGCTGAGTTTTTTCAAGCTAATTTTTAACTTCTTTGGTTTGGTAACTATTATTGAGGCCACTTGTCCATAGCGCAAGACTCCGTGACCTTTTACAGCTCTTTAGCATTTCTGTACCTGTGAGTAACTGTGCAGGTTAAATAGTGCTTATGCAGTTATGAATTAAGGGGATCCGCTTTGCCACCTTAGGCAATAGGTGGCAATAGCAGTGAGTCTAGGCAGACCCACAATATATTCAGAATACCCAAATTATCATGGCAATTAAGGTATGAGACCACACCACAAAGCCAGTCAGAATTATTCTTGGCAGGAACTTTTCATCCGTAAGTTATCTGGAATGTACTTGCGTCTCATGACTCTTTTTTTCTTTTTTTTTTTCAGTGGATTCTCAAATTATATAGTAATTCAATGTATTTTATGTGTTGTTTTAAACAGGGCAGAAAAGCTGCAGTTGCTTAACCACAGGCCCGTAACAGCAGTTGAAATACAGCTGGTAAGTAACATTGCACCTAACTACTCAAAGCTCTTAAATAAAAGCAGCTTTAACCTTAAAAATTAATTGAACAATGACTTTTTCGTTGTCAATGATTGAATATATGGTTTTATACACATATTTACATTCTATTCTGCTCTAAGACCTCCCTTAGAGACTGGTCCATCTTTCTCGCAGACATATTCTCCACCTTTACAGCCTTCAATGTAGTGTAATGAAAATGTCAAAATTACTAAAAGGTTGATTACAATATTGTAGGTAGAGAATTATTTACCTAAGACTTTCTGCTCCTGCTCTCTGAGCCAACTCCTTCACTTTTTGGCAACTGCCAGGGGTGGTGGTTTTTTATGCATTTAATGTTATAGTGAAACCAAACACATTGGAAAATAACAAGTAGTGGCTGTTACTGTGTTTGGAGCAGTTTTGTAGAATAAGAAATATAAACAGGCTTTCTGATAGAAAGTAGCATTTGTAAATCTGTTGAGCATAATTTTGATGTAAAGAGAGATTGTTGCTAAATAGAAATGTATGGACTATATATTCTCTGAAGCATCTCTGCAGGAATACAAAGTCTTGCAGTAATAAAGAGATTAATATAATACGGATGTTCTTCTAATAAAGGTCTCTTACATTAAGAACATCTGTTTATAATCTTACCCTGAAACCAAACTGCGTAATAACAGGATCATATTTGCTGCAAGAAAGGGAAGGATTAAAGAGTATTTTTCTTTTGTAGCCGTGGAGTACCCTTTCTGGTGCTGAAAGCATCTCGTACAGGAGTGCTTCCAGTCAGGGAGTTAATACTGTGTTCTGTGACTGAAGAGATCACTGTCAGTCTTGTCATCGGCTCGACCAAGAGCATTAAGGCCTCATCAGTTTTGTGTAGGAAGTTATTCATAAGTGATGGTGTAGAGCCTTTCTCATACCTTTGTCAGCTTCGTCTGTTAGACACAAATTCATTATGTCCCAGTTGAAACCATATGCTGTCTCTTTTTTGTTCGTTTTCCTTGAATTGCATTAATGTTTTCGCTTCTTTGAGATTATGTTATTTTTTCTCTGCATTTTCCTCCTCCCATTAGTTCATTATTATCTTACCTATAGCCATGCAAGGATTTGGGATCCAGTTATTTCGGTTATTTCAATTAGTTCGGTACACTGAGGTACCCCTGTAACTTGAGTGCAAATTTCTCTAAAGCTGTTATTCCATAAATCAGGTGGAGTGGATTATTAACACTGTTAAATTAAAGCTCCCCAAATTGTAGTAACTCTTTCATCAAAAGACATCAAAATCTTTTGAGAGTAATATCTGCTAGGAAATTGCAGGCTATTTTCTTTGCTGAAATGCAGAGACTAGGAGTCGTAGCGAGCAAACGATTTCACTTTTGAATTGCTGTCGTGAATCACTTGGGTTTTTGCTGAGAAAGAATGGGGGAGAGATTGCAGCAATGCAGCATCTTCGAACATAGACAACTTCCATCTTCTCAGAACATCTGAGCATAAAATAATGTGAAGCCATGGAGGCGACGGGATCTTTTTTACTTTGATGTCAGCAGGGAGAAGATTGTCTATAAATAGATTTCATGGAAGCAAGTCTGTTTACTGCAGTAGATGTATGAGAGACCTCATACAGAAAAGTGAATAGTAGGTGTAAAATTGCCTCGATTCTCTTTTCATGGGACTCCTCCCTGCCACATAAAAGCTTTGAGTTGTTCCTGGAATTGAAGCCAGAAATAAATGCTATTGATCATTTCTGACCGTTTTATAAAACGCAGGCAAATCAATCATATGTTCCTAAAAGTCAGTTTTAAGACACTAAACAAGTCACATATCTACATCTTTCTTCCTCAGATAGCTTTGATGCCTCAAACTTTTATTCAGTGCTGCCTGTACAAGGAGTGGACTACAATTTACCCTGATACGCTTTTTATATTAATGGTTATATTTACTTCTGCTTGTCACTTTTGCTTTGCTCGATTTTTGTTATTCATTATCCCTCTATAAAATTCAGTGCCTTTGTATGTAAAGAATAAATCAATTTAGGTAAAATAATATTTAAACTAAACAGTGAGTTTATGTTTTGATCTCAGGTTCTTTCATAAGCTTTTATGCATAGATTGTTGTATTTTTTCATCTTTGTTCTTTCTGGACTATGGGCTAGGTTTTATTTTCTAACAACAATAGCAACAAAATGAGCATGAAATTTTAATTTATATCCCACTGGGTAAAACACTGTACACATTACAGCTATCTTGACCTCCTGTTTTAATATTTAACATATGTTGTCCCTGGCTCAGTGATTCACAAAAGAGAAGAAAACAGTGATGTTGATCTAACCACGATACTGGTCCAACTTTATTTAATGCTGAATAGTGATGGGTCAGAGGATTAAGCAGCTTCTCTTGTAATGAACAAATTGCTCCACATTCTTCCCTCTCAGTGGAAAAGTAGATTTCAATTCTCTGCTTTTTAAAACCAGATTTTCATCTCAGACAGCCTTGTACCTCACAATATATGTTCTGCATAACCTGACTGACAGATTTTCTTTTATGGTTGAATAGGAAATAATGTATCATTCTAGAAAATGGAAGATGTTCAGAGATTTAAATATTTTATTTTCTCAGCAACGTGTTTTGCTTTCCACTTCGCAGACTTGGTTAATTATCTCTGAGTGGAATTAATCCTTTCATTCAGTCTTTTACTTGATTTCTTCTTTATGTTGTTTCTTCTATTAGTGTGCTGGTGCAGAACAACTTTGAAGTACTGCTTAAGAAGGCGATAACAGCCATTTTCTCACAGAACACGTACCTCCTACACTGGAATTAGATTACGTGCTTGATAGCTTTTGAAGTGATCAGAGCCTCGTTTTCTATTTTATTATAGTTTATAGATTTTTAATAGAATCCTTAGCTTATTGTTCAGAGGAACAATAGCTTTTAACACACAGATTGTTCTGTTCGGTGGAACTGAGCTTTGTGACCCTTCAATATTCCATATACTTGAGACAGTTTTTCAGTTCTTTTCAGAATATTTTGAGTTCTTCGGTGTTGATTTATTTATTCACCAACATTTGTGGTATATTGTCTCCTCTCCGGAGGCTAAATGAAATAAATACTAGTCTGAAAGCTGAAAAGAAGCTCAGAGAGGATGATGAAATCTCTTGTACTTTGCTTTTACTTGGTAAGTAGAAACACTAAGATGTGATTTTAAGCAGTGACTCTGTTCGTACCGAACTTGCCCTTGTTTCACCATGTAAAGAAAAGTACAGACAAGTATGTGTGTCTATGTCAGTGTACATATTGTGTGTTTATATATATACGTGCCACTGTGAACATGCATGGATTTGCATGTTCCTATTATGAATAGTAAAACCACCCTCTTTAGCTGAAATCACGTTGATGGTCAGTCAGGTTACCTGTTATTCTCACATCATACGCTTCCCGATCTGTCTTCTTGAGAAATGGAGCCTTTAAAAATCTTCTAAAAGTAACCAGGCTTTGAGAATTTATCAGCAAGGGTTTCATGCGACTTCAATGCCACGTAATGTAATTCTATTGTTACGTTCTGACTTGGTAAATATTGTTATTTTCTGCCTCTGAGAATTTCATACATAGTGTTTAATTCAGAAAGCTACTAGTGCTCCAATGCACAGCTGGGAAAGGCTGCATGGTAATAAAGTATCCCACATACACATTTGTTTAATAAATACAGCTCAGTTCCCAGCAGCAGCCACATTACTGAGCAAGGCATCTGCCAGTATTTAATGCTGCAGCTGACGAGCAATTCATCTTTTCATCCTCTTCTAAGAGGATTCGAGGGATGGATAGTGGGTGAGTATTTTATTTTGCTACGTTAGAAAATCCGTGCATAGATTTGACTCGAAATAAAGATCAGAATTGGCAGGCCATAGGAAATGCCATGCTGGGCTGTGATAGAGCTCAATCTCTTCCAATATCCATGTGTCTGTGATACTGACCCCAATGATGGATACTTAGGGGAGGAGAGTGGATGGGTGGTTATCCTCTTTGCATTTGGTTTAGTAAATGTTTTCTTCTTCAGCTTACAGTCCAGTGAATCTAGTTGGATCTCTTGTGGACTTGGAATTGAGCAGATTCTTAAGTTATAGCCGTAGTTCCAGTACTTGGTATCTTCTTGGTATCTTCTAAATAAAGTTCTTCATATCTTCTAAATAAAGAGAGCAGGACTCTCCAGGGTGAGCAGGACAGTGTCTTCAGCTCTTCCTGAGGTGCAGCTATTCCACAGTTCTGAAAAGGTGGCCATTTTTATCTGCTACAAAAAAAAAAAAAAATGTAGCTATTTTGGAGTAATATAAACTTGAATGCTGAAAAACAGGACCTTGGAAGTATTTATTAGAACAAGAACAAGATCAACAACATGGCTTCTGCCTTTCTGTGTATACATTTCAAGAACATCCTTGTTCTCAGCCTGCAGAAAAGGATGTGCTTGTCTTGCTGCACAGCAGGGTCCTTTTTATCTATAAACTGTATTATTGTAACACTACCTAGTTCACTAGTTGTTCACAACTCTTAATATTGAAAATGTGCCGTTCAGTGGAAGCTTCAGTTGAGGATAACCTACAGTTTGCATATGGTATCTGTAAGGATGATCTATTTCCATTTGGCTTGCATGGCACTGCCAACATAAATATCTTATGTCATATACTTTTTAGAAACATTTGCATTTTTGTTTTCTCTAGTGTAAACTTTGCATTCCTGACTGCTTACAGTTTGAATCTGTTGCTGTAGCAGTTTCTAATTCCAGCCCATTCCACATTAGAGGTTAGCAAGGCTTTTTAATACTTGTTCCTCTATTGGTAAAAATCTTGCTAGGAAACTAAGTACTTGAATATAATGGTTTCCTTTTCCTTTTTTTTTGTGCATAATTTCTGAACATCATAATATAATATGAACATCATAGTATCTTAGTATTATTGTTATGTTATAGATGCAAATCAGAAGACTGTGCCAACATCTATTGAATCTAGAATGAGCCTGAGTCAACTTCTGTTTCCTTTGCTGTCAATCTCCTTTAGCACAGTGTCATTTCTTTCTTTATCTGCATGTTTTCCCGGCTTAGTTTTTGAATTTTTCATTCTGACTTGCTGCTTTGCTGTTTCCTAATTGCTTCGGTTTTCATAAGTCACCACACTTGCTGTTACCCTGAGGAGTGAAAAAATTGAATTTTATAGCTTATGGTTTTGTTCCTTTGAACTCCTGAATGGTAATACAGCAAGAAGTGCTGAAATATCACCATGAATAATCAGCTCTCCCTGCTGCCAACTGTAGCTTTTTGTGTCCGTGCTCGGTGCTGGCAGGCAGCTGCGTGCCTCCGAGCTGCTGAGAGGTGAGCCCTGCGTGAATTTGCTACAGCAGTTTAAGGAATTACTACTTCCCTCCAGCAGCAACTGCTGATGTGACAGCAGGGCACTTGGATCCACGTTACCCACTCCTCGGTGTCCAGCACCTCTCTTGCCAGCCTCCTTGTTCAACAGCTTGATCTGCAACAGCAGTTGTAGCGCCAGCGTCTCCAAAACATGGGAGTCTCCTTTCCTTTCATCAGCTCGCTGGTAAAATGTGATTTCTTCAACTGCCAGAGCAATCAGCAGAGCTCGTGTGTCAGAGTCCCACGTCGCTCTCTGCAGCTTGTCAGTGTTGCGAGCTTTTGTGTTCAACCAGGACAAATGCCACCAACGTGACGGTGTGTATTAGGATCCGCAGCGCTGCTCCTTCAGCCTCGGGAGCTCCTAGGAAACTGTGATTAGACATTCGTGCAAGCACATCCCGCCTAAAGTGCCGAGGCTGGGAAGAGCTGGTACTCATCCAGAAATCACTGTTTTATCTCTTCATAGATGCTGATCACATCCTTTTGTTTAACTCAGGTCATCTGCCGGAGTAAGTGCTTGGTGAGGAAAGGGAAGGGAGATGCCTAGCAAGGGAGAATGTTTAAATGTGAAAAGGGCTTCATTTCACAGACTTCATGTGAGCCGGTATATAAGATGGCAGCCAGACAAGGTGACAGTTTGTGAAAACTTGAAAGCAGAAGGATGGTAACAAATGCATCTGGCGTTGGCCGCTGCAGAATAAATCAGGCCGATGTAATTTTGCCCGTCCAAAGGATTTGGTCTTTTTCTTTGATAAGTATTTCTAATGTTCCTACTGCTCTGGGGCAGTCGCCTTTGGCGTGCAATGAAATAGTGATTAATAACACTATAATCCAGCTCAAGAAACAGATTGATTGTGCTTTGCACAACTTAGCAGCGCAGATCATCATTCTGGAGAGGATCCCTTCCTTTGCCCGGGATGGTCCCTGGAAAGAGTCACCTGCAAAGGGGTATTTGTGGTCTGTTCCTTTGCTGCACAAGTGGATTCCAGTTTGCTTGATTCCTTCTTCAAGGATCTGTAGAGAGTGGCAGTGAAAGATGAGTGAATTGGGCAAGGAGGGCTCGTAGGCATTGGAAAAAAGTCTTTAATTGAGCGTACCATTCTTCAGGTTTTAAAGGGGCAGATGCTTCAGCATAGCTGCCAATTTATTGCCTGAACTTGTTAAACCTATGTTCACTTGGAACCATAATTAATATACATGACCACTCTTCAAAGGCAGTTTTAAAGGACTTAGTATAAAAAGAAGATCTCAAGCCTCATGATCCTAATTGGTTTTACTTGCGTTTGAAGAATTTGTTCGGCTTGCTTTTCCAGCCCTCCTAGTAGCTTTTCCTTTTAACAGCTGGTGATAAATTAGGGCAGTTGTTTTTGCTGCTAGCAGTGATGTAAGAGATCACACAGCTCCACAGGTCCCTGATGAATCCTAGGGAATTGTACTGTTGATTCGTGACAGCATGTTTTGTGGTCTTCGTAGGTTTTACCTGCTTTTATGTTCGGGATGCTTGCAATGCAAGTAAACTCTGACCAAATATGACTGTTATAGGATCAAATGGCATCTTTATAGCCTCATTGTTTGTCTTCTGGATGACGGATAAAATGCAGATATTCAGGCAACCGTTTTGAGGTTCTGTAGTTCTCACATAAAAGCACAAGGGAAACCAGGAAGGAAGGTCTTTTCCAAGTACCTTATTTTCCTTGCTTTAAAGAAAATAAGGCCCCATTAACAACTGTCTATTGTTACGGTTGATGGTGGAGCTCTTCCCCCCCCCCCCCCTTTTAAATGTTGTAAGAATTCAGCTTGGTTGCTTTGGTAATGAGCTGTTCTTTTGTGACATTTTACAATGTATTACATCCATTGAAATGGTATTTCCCTGTTAGCCTAGACCTTCTGCATGGAGCTGAGGAAGGAAATGTGGGTTTGATTATTACAATAGCTTATTTTTGACCTGCAGATGGTAGAAGAAAGCGAAGAAAGACTAACAGAAGAGCAGATCGAATCGCTTCTCCAGACAGTCACCAGCATTCTGCCAGGGGATCCGGAAGAGCAGCGGAGGGAATCACCGATGGCTACTGAAGACAAAGGTGACCAAGAATAGAAAGAGTCTAGAGAAACCTGGTCCTGTCTTCGGCAGAAGAAGCTCAGTTAACTTATATTCTGTTATTTGATGCAGTTTAATCTTGTACTGGACATTATGGTACAATACGTTACAATTCTTCTTGCTCAGAAGTGATCAGAGAAACAATTGTTGACAAAACATGGAAAAGGAGGCTCTTGCTTCAGCATTTTGTGAAGAAGGAGAATGATAGTAATTTGGTTAGTAACATAGCAGCCTGAGAAATTATGGGGCACAGAGTCTGAAGCTGAGGCCTTTTTTTCCATCCCCCATATAACAGCTGTAGATTTCAGTAGACTTGCATACAGCTGGCAGTGTTTAAATTATCACAGTAGTACTGTAATTATAATTGCTTTCATATGCTTTTGAATTGCCCAACTGTTTTTCAGAATGCAGTTTACAATATAAAGCCAGTTTTTGGAGCTCTTTGTGAAAGGAGCTGCTTTCAGCCATTGTACATTGGATAATGTACAAGAACTGCTATCTGTTCAGACAAGTTCAAGTCAGCTGATGGAGTCATGGAAAAGAGAGATCTACGTATGAGGTAACTGTTCTCAAGGATACCTGACAATCTATAAGTGATAAAAGATAGGTCTGAATCATCAGCTAAATCAACATATTGCCACTGAGGTGCTTTGAATTAGACCAGTTCACCCCTTGAGCATCTAAACTGTAATGTTAAGCCTCTTAGTCATACAAACAAAAGAACATTTAAAAATGAGATGTGTATTTTCCCTTTGATTTTTTTTCTGCCTTTTCAATATTTAGATATAGATGAGTCACAGTCAGTCTTTCATTCCACTTGAACAGTACTGTCCACCATCGAATAAGAAAATAAGTCAATAGTTAAGTGAAACCTCATCTGGTTTAGGAAAAACAAGGTTCAGTCCTGGCTGAAGCAGAACTTTCAGGAAGATTTCAGGTTAAGTATATAATGTTGAAAGCATTTTTTGATTATGATAAATCTTGTTTTTATACACATCTGTGTGCACACAGTCATATGTTAAATGGCTCTGGTTTTCTACTGTAACTGTGCAATTGTATTGGAATTAGAAATAAAGTTGGAAATACATCCTGGGAATTTTATGACTTATAGGCAAGATATAAGAGCTTGAATCAGAATATCTGACTACAGATATTCTGTACAGAATATCAGAATATCTGACTACAATTGTGTTTACCTTTTATCCTTTTTTTGATCATCTGTCTCAAAATTAAGCTGTTGGATGAAAAGCAGAAGGAACCAGATCACAGGGTTTCTGTAGCCAACAAGAATATTTTAATGGATCTCTTCAGTTGGCTGTTCCATGTTGGGAAGTGCTGATTTTTTCTCATAATGGATTTTTGCCAGCATCCATGCTGTTTTCTGTTGTTTTTATTGTACAAGATACAAGGAACTGCTCACTTCCTATTTTATTTAACCTTTTAGCAAATCAATTCCAGATAGAGCTATGTATTTAGACTCGTACAACTGCAGGTGAGGCTTATTCAGTCTCAAATAAGATGCATAAACCATCGTTTTCCTTAAAAAATGCTGTACAAATAACATTTCTTTAAAAGAACCTGAGATGTCTCAGTCCTCATTACCTTAAAAAATCTTCTTTAAATCTATTATGTGTGTTTTCTGGCTGCATTAGTACAGGCAAGGTGTCACTTTGGCTCTGCAAACAGCCTCGCTTTGTGCCGTTTGCCCTCCCACATGTTCTCCGGGGTCCCAAGGTTCAGGAATAGTTTATGGAAAGCAAATGCCTTGTTTATGTGACAGCATTTTTCCAACGTCCCATATATTACATAAAAGATCTGCCTGTCATCCAGGGCTCTGCTAGTTCTTCCAAAGGCAACCAGACAGTGTGAAAAGAGGCAAAAAGACCTGCTTAGAATAAGGATTTTGTTGCATGTAGCCCTGTGCTGAAGGCACTTAAAAGCTTGGCAAAGAGCTGAGCAGGTTTGGAGGTGCTCAGGGCTGTCGGCCACCTGGGATGTCCCGTCAGTGGCTGCAAACCAGCCGCTGAATCAGGGAGGAGGAGACAAACATCCCTGTTCCGAGGTGGGATATCATAAAAAAAGGGATCCTGGAGCTGGGCCAAGAGGACGCGGATGTCTCCAGGCTGTTAAAGCTCTTTAAAATCCTTTGCAGCAGCCAGGCTGCATCCTGGCCCACCTCTCGCACAGAGGAGCCCGGGGAGCCCTTAAAAACAGAAGTGGCATTTTGTAACCTTCCTGGAGAGAGGAAAAATCCTGTTATCCTGCTTTCCAAAGAGCTGGAAGTGAGGCACGGGGGCTGGCAGGCGTCCAAAGTCCTCGAGAGAGAGAGGACGGCAGCCGTGTTTAGGTTGAAGCCGCGCAAGACGGCGGCAGAGAAAATATTTTCTGTTCCCACAGAAAGCAGCAGCCCGGCCACAAAGTTTTATGGAGCGAAAGGAAAAAGATTGTGCTGAAGAAAGGGAGCACGAGTCAAAGCAGAGCTAAAAGGTATGGAGCAGGGAGCATCTCCTTGAGCTCGCTGCCTAAAGTGACTCCCTCTGTCCTAAGGATCTTTATTAATTTTAGTGCTGATAAAAGGAGCCGTCCTGGCCTTCCCAGGCCTGTGTGGCCGCCCACCAGCTCCTCTGATGCAGGATGTCACTGCGGGGCCTGTGGCGATGGCACCTGAGGGATTGGGGAAACTAGAGGGAACAGAGCAGGAGCATCGGGCCGGCGCTGCTGGCTCCATTCCCTGCAGGGAAACCCAGAGCTTCTCCCTCTGCACGAAGTGTGGATTTGCTCTGGAGCCCTGGTTACCGGCAGCTTGCAACACAGCTTGGAGCCTTCAGGGTTTCCAGGGTCGGTCAGACGGGGGCTGGAGCCAAGGGGCATCCGCAAGCGGAGGGCCACGAAGCCGGCACAGGAGGCCCGTGGGAGCCCCAGGTTAATCATTAAAGTGGCTCCTGCGTCACCCGCCTCTGCAGGCAGATGGATTTTGACGTGATTCAGCCTGAGTTTAACAGGTCGTGGCTGTGAGGCTGCCCTGGGCGCAGGGAGAGAGGAAATGCCACCCACGGGGACAGGCAGACAAGGACCCGCTGCAGGTACGAGCCGGTCAGGAGCCCAAAAACGCCTCCCCTGGCCCCAAAGTGGCTCTCGCGCACAAAGCGCAGCCGCCCCCCGGCTCGAGGACGTGAAGGCAGCGATCCACCCTTGTCACCAAGATGGTGCTACCACCACCTTGAGCAATGCAGCAGCGAGATGCAAACGCGTGCAGGTTCCTGGGGGAATGGTTGGAATGGTGTTTGGAGCGTGGAAAGGGCTGTTTGCGCCTATGCATTTGCAAACAGCAGAGCAGAGGGGACCGGGCGGATGCTGGCGCGAACCCTGGTCCCGCACAGACTCTGCCTTTCTGCCCCTTTTCTCTTCCCTTTGGGAATATCCGCAGCCTCTTGCTCTTACCAGTTTCAAAATGCAGTTAGGGGAGGGCGTCGTGTTGTTACTTCCCTCTGCCATGCTGCTCTGCAGGGCGGCTAGAGGGTTATTGCAGAAAATTGAGTGTTTCTGTGTTGCTCTCAGGTTCAGCTTCAGCACGTTGCTTCCTTGCAGTGTTTTGTCCTTCCCTACTTTTTTTTTTATTATTTTTTATTTTTTTTTTAATTTAACGTGTACCTCGTGGCAGAGGGGGATGTCAGCCAGTGCTGCAAGGAGCAGGAAGGGAGCAAAGAGTAGTGGATTTTGCCATGTGTCTGCCAGCGCTGGAAACATATTGGCTGTCACTGTCCCCATGGAAAAGCTTCTGTAAAAACAAAATGATCAATTGAAGCCAAACAAGCCGAAGTGACACTGCAGGGGCATCGGGCTGCTCCTGTGGCCCCGTGTTTGCGCTTCCCCGGACTTTGCCCTGATGCTTCACCCGTTCCAGTGGTGTCTGCGCTGCCCCGGCTGCAAAACTGCCCTGGGAATAAAAGCCAGCCCCAGGAGCCGGGAGTGCAGCTTGGCAGCAACCCCTGCACTGAGCCCAGGCCCAGGACTTTCCAGATCAGGCAGTGGGAAAAGTCTGTCCACACGGATACCCATGCATGGAGAACCAGGTGGGTCACACGCGTGGGAAACAGGCTCTAGAGTATTTCGCCTTTAAATCATCAGCTCCCACCAGCCCCTTTCCAGGAGCAAATAACATTTATCACCCTCAGCTGCTGCCAGGGAGCAGGGATTTGAGAGGGGATTCCTGGTCTCTTGTGCCCCATAGGAAGCCGTTGCTGTCAGGGGCTTCCGAAGGATCCAGCGGAGCTTTTCCCACTGGGAAAACACTTGCCCATGCCCATCTCGTGTTTTACTAGTGAGGCACGTGGGGTTCGCCAGGATAAAACGTGCGGTGTCAAGAGGGAGCTATGGAGTGTGGTTTCCTCTCTGAACTGTTTAATGTGCAAATGTATATATTTGGCTTTTTCCTCCAACTCGGCATAAATCAACAGCTTAAAGGAAAAAAAAGAAAGTTCTAAAAGCAGCAGCCAGCTCTTTCCTTCCTTGCGAGTGGCTATTGCAGGCATGGTGGCCGTTTCAGTGTGGACGGGGGAGCTCAGTGCCGCCTTCGTCCGTCGATTATCCTGTTTCTGGGATATTTAGTGTCATCGCAGGGATATGCATCTCCTTTCATACCACCGTAGTAATGCCAACAACCCGAATTCAACTTTGATTCCCCTTTCTTTAGGTATCAGTGCTGTCTTTTTGCTGGGGGAACGGGGAAGGATGTGGTTAGCGTGGCCCTCGTCCAGTCTTTGTTCACGGTGACCCGATCCGTGGGTGTGAGTATCCTCTGGGATTAAGTCCTGGCGCCCACAGGGCAAAGTAGCTCCCAGCAGCAGCTTCCCAGATGGAGGCCGAGGCACCTGGCAGGAGCAGACGGAGCTTTCGGGCTCGTGTTTGCAGCCCAGCGGTAGTTGCAGATGTTTCCTCTGCTCCCACATGTGGCTGACACTTGGTTTGGGTCCCCTGCCCCTCTGCTGAGAAACCGGCGTCAGCAGCAGAGCCCCCCAAGCCAGCTCCGTGACAGCGCTGGAGCCCCTGCAGCTTGTGCTGCGGCACCACGTGTCTACCCAGAGGTTTAACTTAACTCTGCCTTTTAAAATGCCCCTGACTTCTGTAGCAACGTGCATGAAATCTGCCCGGACGGGGTAAACAACAGGATTCTAAATTTTAGGTGATTTCTGCGGCAAAAACAATCTCTGAAGACTGGCATAGCCAAAGCGGGCAGCATTCTGCACAGAGTAAGACTTCACCTGTTATTTTTTAAATGATATTATTATTTTTAAGTGATCCATGTGGCTGAAGCCCGTTCTGCTCCCTTCCTCGGAGAGGGTGCGCCGGGAGCGCGGAGGCTGCAGCTCTTGTTCCTGCGCCTCCCCGCCTGCCCCAGCGCACGTGGCTGCCCCGGGAGGCAAACACGGCGCTGCCCTGGCCAGATGTGCGCAGAGGTGCCCAGCGGCGCCACCAGCTGCTCCCGCCTCGCACCTGCCCTGCGCATCTGCCCAGATGTTGGCGCCGCCGCGGCCCCGCCCCAGGTGTTCGCCAGATGTGCGCGCCAGTGGCGCCCCGCCCCCGCCGCCAGGCCCCGCCCCCGCCGCCAGGCCCCCCCCCGCGCGGCGGCCA